TGATGTTTTTCAAGGGTGCCTCAAGGCTTCACTTACATTCATCTCTTAAACTTTCCATTTGTGGTCATTCCTATTTAATGTTTTCAGAATGTAGTGAAAACTGAGCTTTGCCAAACCATCTGGATGGTTGGCACTTCCTTTCACCCAATAGGATGTAACCAAATAACTTTAAAAGAATTATATTAAACTAGTGACGTTAAGATCTTTTTTTTTTTTTAAGTTCTGATCCAATATCAACATTAGATTGGGGGAGGTGATGGCCTAGTGGGTTTCAGCAGTGCCCATGTGCCCATGAGCAGTGCAGTAAGCAGTTTGATCCCCACAGCCTCCACTCTGGATTCTTGGGCAATAAGACCCTTAACCCTACACTGCTCCCCATATATATATATATATATATATATATATATATATATATATATATATATATATATATATATATATATATATATATATATATATATATAGTAAAATACACTAAGTTGTTTCTAAAGCGATTCTGCAAACCAACATGGCGATTAGTGAGAGTGAATCCAGATATGACATCACATGGGACATTTTTTTTTTCATTAGCTGTAAGGAACATTATTGAAGAAAAAAAATCTATATAATTATAATTTTGTAACATTAATTATAACATTAATTTCAGTATTTGAACTGAGCAACTGGCATAAACGATTGTTGTGATGGTATTCTAATTTACTGAGATGCACCTGTATGGATTGGTGCAGCTGTCAACATGTCCTTCAAGACTTACACTTCCTCTTGGTATCAGCAGGGTGCACAGAGGCCCAGGGGTTTGTCTATGACTAGGGCCGGCCCTGGCTTACCTTTTTTCCTGGGGGTGTCTGCAGGTAGAAAGTCTGGCTCCTCATATTCCATTACGCTCCTGTAAGCCGCTGGATGGACCTACACTCTCTCACACTCACCTCTCACCCACACAGCCACAGGCAAACATCAGAGGTCAGCCAAAGCGATCCTGTCTTTAAAAGCAAAGATGACAGAAAGCATGCTACCTGTTGTTTGCTCTAGCGCCCGGGTCGGCGCAGACATTTAAAAACATGTACCGCCATCTCTCTTCTTTCTGTCCTCATAAGTCCAGAAACCCAAACATAATTCTCCTCCTGTCTCCTTTTCTTTCTTACAGAGCAACCCCTCCTCCTATGTTTTAAAATAATTGCTCTCACCCTGTGGCAGCAGCAGTGCAGGGTGCAGCTGGACCGGACCAGCCCCTCTGCTCTCACCCCCTCCCTGCTGTCCCAGGCCGGGCTGGAGGGAGTTATGTCACCGACTGTTACGTAACGCCAGCGGATCGGGTTTGCTTTGAGGTGCTCGGCTGAGAAATATAATCCCATGTTGCTGCCAACTCAACAGACAAACTAAAAAACCTGGAGGACTGGCGGTCCATGGCCTGTGGACTGAAATCTGCATGCAAAAATAAAACATATTCCTTTAAAAATGCACTTTTCTTTGGGTTTGTTTTGCAGGAATCAGCTATCATAAACCAGAGCTGGGCCTTTGCAGAGATTACCTTTATGGTCTGTATCTAAATCCTGCTTTATTACAACAGACCAGAAAGACAAAGAAAACGATGAATAATCAATATGTGTTCTCTGTTTACATGATCAAATGTTTCTGTAGGACATTGTGCTTCAATGGGCAGACTAATGCTGGGAGCAGCTCTAGGCTTAGGCTCAATCTGAATCCAATCTGAAAAACTTGTATTGATACATATACTTTGTCTTTGGCGCTCAGACCTCGGCAGGAAACATAGCGCTTAATTTTGATTGATATGCAACTATGACTGAAACTGATGGTGGAGTGGAGATAGATGAAGTTGGTCAGTCTGTAGACTGCTGGTTAGCAGACGGTATGCTGAGCTTTATGGGAAGATCCAGTGGGGTTATACTAGAGCTTCACTCAGGGACCTGTAAGATGGAAATCCAGTTGGATAACACAAGTTGAGAGAACCTGTCCATGATGGGCAAGCATGGAGCGACAGTAGAGAGGAAAAACTCCCCATTGGGAAGAAACCTCTGGCAGAACAAGGCTCAACATGGCGGTCTTCTGCCAGATGAAACAGGGAACGCAGTAAGAGCCAGGGAGGAATGACACTCTTATGAAGCTTTAGCTACGATGGTGGAGGAGGGACTGGAGGTGGGTTGAAACGCATCCACCGCCTGCACACAGGAGCACACAAGTGGATCAGAGGCCTTATTAGATGAACTTTGGAGGTAGGAGAGCAATGAGTTTCTTCAGTTGAACGTCCGCCTAGGCTCCATTATCAGGAAAGGTTTACTCTGAGTTAGTTCAACTTTACTTAATGACGCATAACTTCCTCAGATACAGGCTCATTCCTCCTTACCACTCCTTGGTAAAAATCTTTAGGGTTTTTTGTAGGCATCACCAAAGTCTGTCCTCGAGGGCCGCTGTCCTGCAGGTTTTAGAGGTTTCCCTACTCCAGCACAGCTGATTTACAATGATAGTTTATTAACAGGCTTTTGCTTTTGCTGAACTGCAATAAACAGAATCAGCTGTGCTAAAGCAGAGAAACCTCTAAAACCTGCAGGAAAGCGGCCATTGAGGACCAACTTTGGGTATGCCTGGTTTATTGTGTCAATTAAACCTACAGAAGTAGATACCTATCTTTTAATTTTGACTCAACAGGGAAATAAAGACAAACTTTTAGCCCTGGTTATGTAAAAGAGAACAGGCAAAACTGTCAAGAGTGTCCAATGTACAATGTAGCTTGCCACCATCAGTGTGTGAGTGTGTGTGTGAATGGGTGAATGAATGTAGTGTAAAGCGCTTTGGTCAAGTCTCCTAACTTGAATAAAGGCGCTATATAAGTACATGCCATTTACCATTTACCAATGTGTTATTAAAGTATGAAATGTAATCGTACAACGGCTTTGATCTGGACATATATGGAAAAAATGAGAATGGCATATGCAAAAAATGTATAATTCTATATTTTATTTCCAAACATAATTTTTTGTGTGATTTCCACTACCTTTGAACAAAAAGAAACCCCTCATATCAGCTGTTTCAAGCTGAGTCTTGAAAAAAGTATAAAATGCAAGTAAGGAAAAGGGAATCGTTAATTTACATTTTTTTTTTATCAATTATCATATTAGTAAAAAAAAAAAAAAAAAAAAAAGATTTTAGGGAATTTGGTTGATCCAATTCAATCAATCATTCTTTCTTCCAAAAATGTTGGTCACTGTTTAACAGTGAACTAAAATTGTGCTTTAAGTTTATTCAGAATTTTTCCACTTTTATGAGACAAAACTGAAGTAAACTACCCAAATCTTGTAAGGGTTTTATCGTTACTATTTTCTATTATTAGAAAACCTGTTACTGAAAGAATTAAATAAATAAATAAAAAGGCTACAGCTTCAGACTTTTCTCTGTTGCAGTCAGTAAAACGAAGCTTGCAGCTTTAGTTTAGATCAGTAATGGCCCCTTATTGAAAGCCAACTTGATTGATGTAAAAACTGGCAGTGCCGAGGGATTGTGAAATGGAGCTCCCCCACATTAAAAGGCTGATGGGCCTGAAGAGCTGCAGTGGACAGAGCAAGCTGCAGGTGGTTTAACTGAAAGTGGAAAACAGCCGCTTCCTTTAAACCCAACTTGACCACATGAGACTGGAAAGGGGAAAAAAAGAGAAGCTTGTGTTTATTTGTTCTGCACTTTCATGCATTAGAAAGACTTTAAAAACTAGGTAGCATTTCCATCTGAATGCATGCTTCAGCGAGGTTAAAGATGTGAGGGGCCCAAAAAGACCTAGCAGACCCGCGCTGCTATGAACATATATACACAGAAACCACACAGGAGACCAACATGTGGAAGAACTGACGTTAAATAGAGTGTAGAAGCTGCTGCATTTGCAAACATTATGTGTTGAAGTAAAATCAGACTGTTTTTTTTTGTTCTTTTTACATTAGCAACTCTTATAAAATAAAAAACTTATAGATGATATAGTATTATTACATTTTACAGACAACGTCACTCAAGCAAACTGTTCAAAATTATAGTGAGATTTCAATCATTGACTCAAAGGTGTCTATTTTAGGTTGGAATGAATGAACTACCTAATTGATAAAAAAAAACTGCTGCATGAATGAGAGTGAATTTGCCATGAACTTTTTCTAATTTTAAAAGTGTTAAGTTATACATTTAAGCTTAGATATATACATAAACACAGGCTCTGGCAGGATAATTTACGTTTCATTGCAGCTCTACAGTGCCCAAGTATCGCACATTGTTCAGGTAATTATAAAGACTTATTTAGAAAACCCCATATAACCTCAGCATGCCTTAAAAACTTGGTCAGTACAAAGATATCAGCTCCCAAAGGATAAAGAAGACTGCTGAAGGTCCATTCTTAGTATCATTGCTAGGTTATTTTAATTTTCTTGTAATGTTACAAGTAGTGGTGCATGAGGTGTTGCCTTTGAACAAATTTGCATGTTTTCCTTTATTTAACTGTGATGTTGTGAATCACAAGCATTCATTATAAGTATATTACCATCTGGACTTCTTTGAATTGATTATCAGCAAACAAATCTCATAGTGAATATCTAAGACAAGCAAAAAAAAAAAGGCTCTATTTGTCATTTATCTGAAGGTGAAGTCATTTTTTAGCCCCAAGTGAACTAAAACAGTTTTTTTCTGGTTTAATTACTGGTTCATGTGCCATTTTATCCAGAGTATATATATATATATATATATGGTTTAAGCTAAAAACATTTTGCCCTGAATGTTCGATTTTAAAAAGCCCTTTTTAATGGGCCATCGTCCCCGTTTGTAAAAATAACAGCTGAACTACAACATTAAAAGCTACTAATAAACATGTTAAAGCTTTACATTTGATGACTGCATGTGAATCTGACTGGATCTGGATTGCAGAAAAAATAAGAATAAAGGGACAAAGTTTTGCTAATAGGACCATAAGAAAAAAAAAAAAAAAAACTCACAACAAAATACATTTTGTAGCTCCATGTAATTAATTTAATTCCTCTTAAATCAAATAACAATTCAGTTTATAAAAAAAAAAATCATCCATTAAACCCATATTTGCAAATATGGAACTTATTTTTGTTCAGGTTACATCAACAACAGGTAGATATGGCATTAAACATTAAATATCCAATTTAATATCTAATTGCAGTAGAGCAAAGAAACCCGCCTTGAATCAGACAGTGTAACTCTGTGGTCTGCAGTGATGCCAGAGCAGCTTGCCTCTCTGTGATGTGGAGGTCATTACTTTTTAATGTTGGGCCGCCACACGCTGCAGTCACTTCTGAATGCAGACGTGTGTTCAAAGTGCCAGTTCGGGTGGCATAAGTCGACGAGACAAACAGTGTTTACGAAGGCCTCTTCTATACATGACAAAGTTGTGATATTCGCATGGCGAGAAACATCTCACAGTCAAAACCAACCACAGCCACCACATGGTGGAGTAACAGCCAGCGTTCACACCTGACAGGCAAAGATCAAAACCTATAATAGCTAGAACACAAGATGCAGGAAACTTAGAGAGGCACCAAAAGTTAAAGGCTAACAATGTTCTTTCTTTCTAAAATTCTAACGTTTCCGTCTTTTTTCAGCTACTGCCAGTACATATATTTTTTTATTTTTAAATAAAGTGACCTGGACTGCTTTGCTGCAAAATGACAAATTCTTCTTAGCAAAGACACAATACTGCACACTTAAATATTTGATCTTAAAAATTAATTAACCTCTCCATTTCTTTTACATCTATTATATTTTCTTCCTATAATAAAAAATACTCACACAGACAGAAAGTATAGAATCCATCTCAGAAAAAAAAGCTCTTAACATTAAGGTCACTGTGTATTTCCAATAAATAACACTTTGTTCAATAAATACAGTTAAAAAGTGTACTGTTTTTGTGTTAGTACAAACGTGCAGAGAAATTCAAATTGATACTATTACTAGTAACATGTTAGAGTATAATATAAGAATATAGTCATTAAAGTTTTTTTTAAGATGAGCTGGAAAATATGTTCATATTCCAAACTAAATGGATCCCACGCTCACAGACGTGTTATATCCTCTGTATTAGAGGCGAGCCTGGCTTGTCTGTGTCACCCTCTCAGTAGGTGGCTGACACTGATTGACACAAAAAGGGCTGCAAGGAAAAACATAAACAAAACATTAAAAAACAACAACAAAGGGATAAAAAAAAAAAACATGAAACAGTTTAATAGAAATGGAAGAAACATCAGAAAATGTACCTGTTGCTTCTGTGTGCAGTTTGGAGCCGTCAGTGCTGCTTACTTTACATGAAATGAATTTTTTCTTGCCTTCCTCCTTGTCCAGAGTGGACTCGATCAGCACAGTGCTTCCTAGTGGGATGGGACTACAGACAAGGCTAATAAATCAGTGATCTCCTCATATATTAGCCCATTGATCAACATGATAACTGCCTCAAGATAAACTCTCACAGTCACCAGTACTATATTTTATTATACCAAAAACAACAATCATACAATAAATAATTAATAAGATAGTGAATACAATCCATAAGAATCATTTAAAAATTACATTTGCACACTAAGTCATCCTACCTTTTTGGTAAGGCACTACACGGTAGCAAATTCAACAAAAAAATATCTGAAAAGTATGTACCAAAGGACTTTGGCCATTGCAAAGTAAGAAAGGAAGTGGCTGCTCTGTTGAACCATTCAGAAGAAGAAAACTTACAAGAAACCAGAAATGTTCGAATTGAGTTCTAACTGTATGTAAACAACCAGAATTATGTTTTCTCATTTTCCTGTTTACAAAAGTCAGCAATTTTCATTCAGGCCAATTTTGGGGCGCTGTTGGATACGCAGTTTGTTGAAAAGTCAGGAAAGCAGTGTGGAAGGTGTCATAGTTTGCAACACAGCTGCCTTGCAGCATGGAGATCATGGTTTCTATCACAGCAAGAGGCTTTTCTGTATTTAATCGTTTTAAGTCTGAGTAAATGTTGCCTAGTTTTATAACTATTAAAATGAGATACACTTTATTAATAAAACTTGGTAAATTCACTTAAGCAAACAGAGTTCAAATTGTTACCCATCTACCTAAAACATATTTCTATCTATCTGTCTCAAAACCAACATCTAACATGTGACCAATATTATGAGGCTCTGTTGAATTCCAGGCCATGGTGAATCTGCAGAACTGCACCAAAACAGTAAGATGGCTAAGAATAAAAAGTAACTTCCACTGCTAAATTCACACGTTAAACATGTTTTACCTGCGGTAGTTGATGTTCAGGTTGGCAGTCATAACTGGTGCAGAAAGCAGAGAGGCATGAGTTCCTGTGACTGTATCTATCATGGTGGCTATCGCCCCCCCGTGGACATGCCTGGAATCACACACTCCCATTTAGATGATCATTAAAGTTAACCTAAAGATTTTATGACATATGAAGCTTTCCAACCTTTCTACTGGGACATGAAATTTACCTTTATTTCAAGTTAATGCATGTAACCGAAAACCATTAAACAATAAAAGGAATCAAAGGTTGAATATAGATATGTAAAGATGCTCAGGAGTAACCATCTCACCCTGGTGGCCCCTCCAGCAGGTGACCAGCTTGGAAGATGCACAGACACCTCTGCTTGTCGTTTCTGAAAAAGAGAACATACTCAAAGGCTGCTCCAGGGTCTCTGATGTTCCGGGTAAAAAGGCGAGCTTTTGATTGGATCATCTTGCTGAGATAAACTCCTCCTGATTGAAAACAAGAAAAACACAAACAATCATCAGCAGCTAAATGTGTACAATTACTTTCAAATATACTGTCTGTGCATAAGAGCTCAGGTACAAAGGCCCCAATGAGAAATCTCAATCAAATCATTTAATCTAAAGGTAAATCTGCATGTGAGAGTTTGTATGTTTGTAGTAACACCCCCCTAAGATAGTCTAAATATAAGGAGGACCAACTCTGACATCATTAAAAATATCCAAATAAATGAAAAATAAAAATATTTTTTCCAGGCTACTGGTTTTTCTTCCTATTCTCTATTTTCAAATGGAAATATCTTTAAATCTAGATCTGCCAGTGTTAAAGATTAATTGGGTTATTTTATTAATTTGAGATGTTTGGTCTGACCCATTCATGTGGGACTATTTACATCCATCCATTTTCCATCACGTTTTATCCCTGCTGGGGTCGCGGAGGGGCCGGTGCCTATCTCCAACCGTCAATGGGCAAGAGGCGGGGTACGCCCTGGACAGTTCACTAGTCCATCGCAAGGCAACAGAGACAAACAGCCACTCACGCACACACTCACACCTAAGGAGAATTTAGAGACGCCAAATAACCTAACAGTCATGTTTTTGGCCTGTGGGTGGAAGCCGGAGTAGTACCCGGATAGAACCCACGCATGTTTAGGGAGAACATACAAAAATCCACGCAGAAAGACCTCGGGCTGGGAATCGAACCCGAAACCTTCTTGCTGCAAGGCAAAGAACTATTTACTATAAAAACATTTTCTTACATGAAATTCAGACAGATATTTTCAGAAATGTAGTTGGATTTTCGATTTCAGCAGACAGAACCTGAGATGTTTGACAATCGGTGCAAATAGTATTTTTGTCAGACATCTGGAAATAACCTCAGATACATGTACAGCAGTATCCCCAATTTAACATGCACTGCTGTCCACAACCCCCCGATGCCCAATCAGTATATTAATACAGTGCATTTGCAATGTATCGATATGCACAAATATACATTTTGCTATTACTATTTGATTCCCTGTGCAATAACCTGTTTCTTTTTTTTTTAACCCCAGTGCAATAGCTACATATAAATATCCATTTACATAAATACCCATGTAATCACCCTGTGCAATAGCCTCGTGAGACCATCCTGATCTCGTGAGCTTTCAAGATTTCACTCGCTATTCCATCTGGCGGAGTCAGGTTACCTGTGCAATAACCCTGTATAATAATCCTGCTAAAAAAAATAAATAAAAAAAAGCTGTCATATGTGGACACACTGTTTATGCTGTATATATCACATGTACCTTTTCCTTCCTTTGGCACATTCTTCTCCTTTAACTATTTGAGCTGATATAAGGAGTACATTTCTTCACTGTGAGATCAATAAAGTCAATCAATCATTTAAATAATCAGACAAGCATTTATGAATCTAATCCAGCCACTAGTATCTTTATCATTCTATTTTGAAACCAGAGGGATTTTTTGAAAATCATAAAGCAACATCAAAATGCAAACTTTTTGAACAGACTGATAATGGTTGCGATATCCAATCACTTTGCAGTTAAATGTAAACGAATAATTCAAAATGTATTTTTCTTAATGGAATAAAACAATAACAACGTGAGTTGAACTTTAACAAAACCCACTAGAAGACAGCCTAAGTCTCCTTTTAAATGTTTCTGAGAGCTTAAACATGAAAAATATCTCTCCTGGTGAAAAGAAGTGATGTTTTTTTCTGTAACTTGTTTGAACAGAGCGGCTGTATTCTTGGCTTTATGCTGGAAACGGCCAAATGGATATCACTCAATTCTAAGGAGTTGCTTTTCATGTATGTCATCACATATAAAGGACTTCTTCCACAGATATGTGAAATAAAATGGAAGCTAGGGCTGAAACAATTAATTGGATTAATCGTGATTAATCGATGATTGAGATTATCGTCAACTAATTCAGTAATCAATGAATCATTAAATGGACTATAGAGACTGTAAAATATTCTTTTAGCTGACAGAGCGACCCACTTACAGCAGTAATTATGCCAAAATTATAAAAAAAAATGTTACATTTTCCATTTATTTTAGTTTTTGTTTCACCTGGTTTAAATTCATTGAAAGTCTTCTCTTGGCTATCCAATTATTAATTGATTAATCGAAAAAAAAATTGTCAAAAGATTATTTGATTTGCAAAATAATCGTTAGTTGCTGCCCTAAGGGAATCAGATCATCAGTTGCAGCTTTTGACAGTGGTGCGTGCTGTCTTGCTTTTGACAACCAGAATTCTTCCATCTATAATGCAGAGAAAGCAGTCTGTAAGGTGGAATCAGAGGAGAGATCGAACAGGGCGTCCTGCAGCTCTGATGAACAGGATAGGTGATGCGTTGTGAAAGGCTGGCATTTACAGTTGTACTTTTCAAGCAGAAATCTGAAGTAAGAATCAACAATTCCTTTCATAGTTTGAATGGTTATGTCGTAACTCTCCCTGAAGTCCATTTCAACACTTCCCCCATCCATTCATACAGCCCAACCGACTGGACATTGCTTCTCATGTCCAGTTGAAAACTACATTAATTTTCTGCATCTATATTCTTCCAAGATGATAAAGTGACGCCCAGAAATCATTTTGCGCCCTCAATTGGGGTCAGGACCCCAAGGTTATGAAAGGCTGAGAATAACTGAGAGTTACATGCTGGGGATGTGATATATGGGAAACTGTGAATGCATTAGTATCCCAATAAACTGAGACTCTATTAATAGATATTTGGAGGATCCTTCTACAATCAGCTTTGATCCCACTAGATTTGTGCAGAGATGTGTATGTTTTGATATTGACCTGGTTGAAATAAAACCCTCCTTTGTTTAAATAAATTGCCATCAACAGTCTTTTCTTGGGGGTTTTCTCACATCTGCAGTTTTAGGGTTACAAACCTCAATGCACACCAATATACACCGTTTAGCCAAAAACTTGACCCTAACCAGTCTTGAGGCGCATGTAAGCTTAGCTGACATCCCATTCTCAATCCATGGGTTCCAATTTGAAACTGGTGATGTCACTGAAGCTAGGAGTGCGTTTGTGACTTTTTTATTTACCATTCTTCCAGAAGTTAATTTGTGAGGTCATAGATTAATGCTGTTTTGCTGGGCTTCACTAAACTTGACACTGCCAATCCCATACATAAGATTCCCAGATGGAGAAGCCTGTTGCAGTGATTTGAGTCCAGAGGCAGCGTGCTTTGCAACCCAACACTCAAAGCCTCTCATTGCACAAGAAGCTCTCTTCGCACTGTTCTAGAGCTGGTCTGAAGCCCACATGAAGTTTGGACCTATGCAGCGATCAGCTCTGCAGAAAGTTAGTGATCTTTTGATACTATATGCCTCAGCATCTGCTTCCCCCAGTTCAGCAGTTTTATGTTGTCTAAAACACTTTGTGTCAAGGTTGGTGTTGTTTCCACTTTGTAATAAAGACATCAAAATTTCTAAACTGAACTTGTTGTATAAGGGGCATCCTATAAGATCTATAATAGCATACACTGAGCTCCTGAGCGTGACCCATTCTTTCACAGATATTTGTAGAAGCAAGCTGCAGGCCCATATGCTGGGTTTATACAACTCTAGACATAGAAGTTAATAAAACACCTTGTCTCAAATAATAGAATGGGTGTGAGAATTACTTTGGAATTATTATATGTCAGGATATCTGATATAGATTTAAGCTGTTCATATCATCCAACTAGTCCAAACCAAAAATTTATATCTAAGTCAAATTTTCTTTAAATAAATGCATTTCTCTTAAATAAAGCAAGTGAAAAAGACACTTTGCCAATGGAATAAGACAATTTACATTTAAAATAACAAAGTGTATTATATCTAATTATCCTATTTTAATGGTAAAAATGCTCATTCCATTGGCAGATCATCGTATTTACCAGTTCAAACTAAGGCTAAATACTTACTAATTTACAAATAGTTTTTGATTGTTTTTGCAGTAAGCTGCTTTTCCATCAGCAACTGCAGCTCCAACAACTCTACCCCGTTAGGTCTGTTCCTGCTCTGCACTAAATCTGTTGTGTTTCCATGGATTCAGTGACGGCTGCAGCAGTGACTTAAAGCCCCACCTCCAGCCTTCAGCACTGTGTGCAATGCCATAAAACATTAAAGAAATCTGTTTAAAACAGTAAAAAATAAAAGATAAATAATAAAAAATAATAACTTTAATAATTAGAAATATCTATTTTCTGTCTGCTGTGAATTTGCTTTCAAGCATAGTTTAAAAACAAACACCCCAGTTTGCACACGTACCTGTTGCATACTTCAAAGATCGATTGTAGCTTGGCAATCTCGTCCACCACTCTCCATCCTCCCCTTGTCCTGCTGCTTCCTCACTTTGGAGATTATAATGCTTATACAGCCGCTTCATCTCTTCCCCCCATGAAGGGTTGGGCAGGCTGAAGTCTCTAGGTTTATGGGAAAACATTGAGGCCTCCTGAACATGAACATAAAGCAGAGTTGCTGAGTTTTAATCCTATGAACATTAATTGCTGTTATTTGCATCTTAAAAACTGGTGTTTTTAAGATATAAATTTATTTGGACGTGTAGAGCTATAAATTAAGAGTTCAGTTTAAACCTTTTTTTAAGCTATAGTAGATACAGACATAAAAAAAATTTTCTAACTCCAAAATGCTATTTTTCGTGGAAAGCTAAAACTTAAAATCACCCTGTTAGAATTTTTTTAAATATTATTCATGTATGTGCTTGTTAAACGCTAATATTACCTCCCAGTTAGGTATTAAGGCTAATGTTTTCCCCAGCAGTTTATGAAGTTAACACAGAGCGTTTTGTCACTATGCATTCATATTGCTCTAAAACCTGCTCCTCCACTAAAGCTGCCCTGCATGTTTTAGATGTCTGTCTTTTACAGATGGAGTAATGTAAAGAAAGCAATTTCTCCCTGGGATTATTAAAGT